CCAGGCATTCAATTAATAATATACAAAATATGTATATAATAAAATTATGTATTTATCTCAAAATTCTGTATTCTGGATTATGCGAGCAATGTCATGGGTAAAAGCTCCAGCTATTCTTCTAAGAAAGAACTAGCAATACAGCGCTAAAGTATTTGAATATAAAGAAACTAGATTGAGGTCGACATTGACTTTTTACTATATTCGTTAGCATATTGCACAGAGCAATTTATCCTACATAGCAATTAAAGTACTTGATATTTTTTCATTTATTTTTACACATATGTCAAAAAATGGAATAAATGATGTGAATTTATTTCATGTTTATTGAAAAACTACAGATGATTTTTACAGAAGCGAGTTTTAGTAGTTGTGATCCTAAATACTTTTGTCGATAAACGTTATTTAATTACTATTGTTCATTTCGAGTAGAAGAAAAAAAACAATTTATATTAATATGTATTTAGATCAAAATATATTCCAATTTGACGGTTTAATGATATTCAAATATCTTCCTTACAGTTTTGTTGTGTTTGCAAATTCATTCGCTAACTTAAGTTACTCATTTCAAATGTATGCAAAAGGAAATGAAAAGAATCTCGGAGTTTCCTTTCATCGTTTGGTTTTGTTCCAAATGTCATACAATTTGTAAAGATGTGACATTTACTTCATAACCTACCTACTTGTAATAAAATTAATGTTCCTTTACAAACATTTTTGTGTTATTTTTCAGCAATGAGTCATAAATTCATTTGGTTCATTTCCCATGTCAAGATTTTTTATCAGCATGGAGTTTGGAACGAAAGATTATGATGACTTTCTTTTTTTTATGGCACAAGCCGGTAAACGAGCAGACGGATCACCTGATAGTAAGCAATCACCGTCGCCCATGGACTGTAACACTGTAACGCCACTGTGGAATGTAACACCCACTATTCACTATTTATGTTATGACTCCTATGTAATAGGGGGTGAACCTACTTATATCAAATTACATAAACAATTCCCAAATGTTAATTCGTATTTGACATTTTGACAATTTACATGACGCGAGAACTAACTAGTCTAAACCTTCACCATTGGGCCACCAAGATACAGGCTGTGCCTAGTTTGGGGCCCACGGGCACCTCTGCCGTATTTGTATCTATGTGAATGCTGTTCGCTTCCATGTCTACATGTAATCTAACTTGTGTATGCCAATAAACAAATTTAATTTAATTTAATTTAATTTCTGTACCAAGTTATGTCCAATTTATGAAAACTAGGAATAACTATTTCTAAGTTACTTTACGCTCGCCTTTTTTCAACGCCTTGTGTAGGTACCTACAATAATAAAAAACAAAAAGCTATTTCTTTCTTGCTTATAAAAATAACGCTAGAATTAGAATTATCGTTCCACATTTATTTATCTTACTACGTTATCTTTCTAAATTATATCTCGTCCTTACATACAAGTCTAGTACGTAAATTCTTTTGTTTTTCTATGCAAAATACGGGTTCAAGGACTCTTCATTCGTTTTCGTATCTTTGTGTAAGATATAAATGTAACTGTCAGGTTTAAAAAATGAGTTTTTTTGAAGCGAAAGGAATTACGTAACGTATAATAGAACAACGCGCATATCATTAACTCGTCGAGTACCGGTTTTGTAGACACAATTATAGAACAATAGGTTGCGGTCACCGGTGACCGCTTGGTGTTTGACAGTTTAAATAAGGGATACGTAAAATTATTGTATTACCTATCTTTCGACAAGTGTAACGTAGTAGCCATTATTATTGATATCGTTGACTACTGTCGAGTATCAGCTGCAATCCCTGATTTTCTATTCTAAATGCTATATGATCAACCATTGAAAAATCCAATAGATAAACGCTCCCGATGACCTGTCACCAAAACAAAATATCATCAATATTTTTATTTATTTATAAAATATTACATATAGACTACAAATCTAATAGAAAATCAAAACGGATACCTATTTCACACTTGCCAAATAAATACTCGAACAAAATTTTCACATTTTCTTACAAATATTTCCATCAAAAATGTACGAGGCTAGTACAAAATTGAGTGTGAATACAGCAGTAATCTATAAATAGGTATCCAGTATCGACTCGAGTCAACTCGCCACATGATCGATTATGCGGAACCTAATCGATCCTCTCGATTAGACGTAACAAAAGGATGAGCTTAACTTCGTTCATGGTCAGTAGATAAATTGACAGCGGGTACAAAGGACGGTGTGTTTTTTAATTTATGTTGGTATACTTTTTAAAAGTGGTGATAATTTGTAACAAAAAATCTATTTTTAATTCAAAATTGGAATGTAAAAATAATTTACAAGTATTGTAGACGAAAGAAGCTTTTTTTTTTTAAACGGTGCCCCACAGTTTAGGATTTTCTCCTGTGTCGTGGGTGCAGATGCGTTTTTTTTTTTATCTATATTACATTTCTTATTCTCCACGGACTCTTGTCCGTGCCCTTGTCATTCCATTACATTTTCTCGTCGTGGGTGCGTTTACAAACATACAAGTTCACATAAACATGGCACCCAGACCTGGAACAACAATCTGTGGATCACACAAAGAGTTTTCCGTGCAGGAATTAAACCCGCGACACGTTGTGTGGCATTCAGTTGTCCAGTCACTGCACCAACCGTGCAGTCGTTATATGTGCCATGAGGCCAAGAGGCTGTCAAAATGCTAATCACGTGAATTAAAAACAGAACGTAAAGCAGAACCTATAGACATTAAACACACACATTAACATTAGTAGATAACACTAAAGAAAATCAATTTGTTTATGAATCAATAAGTTAAATCATAATACCCATTTCAACATCACAAATTACGATTAGATTAATTATTATTTGAACCCTACGGAAAATCTCTCTACTTTGGTAACGATCTTATTAAAGTACCTACCTGTCATTACCGCATAATCATAACGACTTTCAGCTTTACACTCATCAACATAACGTTTCATTTTTATTGTAATTCTCTCAATAAACTTTACGTTTACGCCTGTTAAAAATAACGATCACAATTATGTTCCAAGCAGAAGCATTTTTTGTACCTACTATTGAAACATAAGCTGGGTTTAACATAAAAGCAACGTACTTGACAGATAAATACTAGGTATTATTAGTCAATTATTAGTTGTCATAAATTATTTTCAGGTAAGTAATAAGTATCCAGCCTATCTGTAAGTCATTGGGGGAGGCCTATGTTCAGCAGTGGACGTCCTGTGGCTGATATGATGATGATAATGAAGTAATAAGAATAAGCTGAGAGCGTAATAGGTAGAACTCACATAATGTTATACAAAATACGTTATGAGTTTCATGTAATGAATTGACTCTATCGCTATAATTTATTATACACCCGGTATAATTCCAAATTCTATCATAATAATCTACTACCGTTTTCTTAACTCGTCGAATACCGTCATTATAGACACAATTATAGAACAATAGGTTGCGGTCACCGGTGACCGCTTGGTGTTTGACAGTTTAAAACCGAAAAGTTCACAATTATTATACTTTTTTGCTCGACCTAAGAACAGCCGCCGAGAGCCCTTGATCAAGTCGCACTTTTGATCACTTGACAAACTACACTTTGTCAAAGTTATTAAAACTTTTAACATGTTAATTAGTGAAAGAAATACAAATATAACCAAAATATTACCAACGTACGCAAGTACGCACCCAATAAAAATAATCTTGCAAAAATTATATAATAATAATTATTCATTGTGTATTTATAATTACACTGTTAGCAATACACAATTAACTATTAAAATTTTGCCTACGTAACATCACGCCTTTTATCCCCGAAGGGATTTTTTTTAAGGGGGGAAAATCATCGAATGACTACTCCCGCCTGGATGAGGCGGGAGGGAGTGTCAGACTCTTACTGACTAAAAACCACCCCGTTCCTTCTCCTGCACGTCGAGCCGGAGCCCCGGTTACCCGTTAGGTTCTCTGCGAGGGATAGGCAGATGTGCACTTTAGGGCCACTATACAATATAACACTTACTTTTCACTATTTAAGTTATAAGTCCCATTTAACAGGGGGTGAGTCTATGTATTGCCATATACCTACCGAGCACACGGAGTCTGGAACAATTCCAGACTCCGTGTTCCCACTGAAATTCATTTTTTATTTTTACCTAAACTGTAACTTATAAATTACATTCAAAAGCTAATATATACATAAAAATAAAAATTATACTGAATTATTATCGAAGAGCATAATTATTTATTGTGGGTAACATTAATAATCACCCCGAAAATAATTTCAATTCATTAAAATTATTCCAATATGTTAAGTATTGTAAATGATTTACAAATCAATTGTGCTCGAAACTAATTACTGAGCCAAAATATTTGACTATCAGCAAACTTATTCAACCCAAATTAGTATAACCAAAATATTTGGAATACTAAATCCCAGTTTCACCACTCTCAAATTAGCTGGTATTTGATTTCAACTGATATTATTTCATACAAATTATGACGTTTCTATGTTAAATGGCCTCGGCTATTCGAATAATTTTAATAACCATGTCATCAGTGAAAAATAATGCGAAAATAATCCATAATACTTTCCGTGATCCGAAACTCGAAATAATATGACGTCATCCCACGAACGTTTTTTTTTTATTGTTATAAATAGCAGATATTTTTAAAGGTTAGGTACTAATAAAAATGTTCTGACTGTCCAAGTAGTTTCAATTTGAAACGAATAGCTTACATTTACATTGCTAATAAGTAATAATACTATTGGCCACTAGAATACTAGATAACCCTTTATCTAAAAGACAGAAAGATATTTTTCAAAACATTGAATAGATCTGGCAGTCGTCAAAAGAGTGAAAATTGAAAAATTTTGACAATATATTTTGCAATTTCATAAAAAAGTTTAAAACTGTTTTATCAATATCGAATACTTCTTAAATAATATATCTAACACTTAAGAACAGATATAAAACTATCACTTACCGGGTTAATATACTTTTAGTCCCAGCACATAATAGGTTAAGCACAATACTTTGGCCAAAACACTTTATCGCCACTTCCAATACAAAGTCACACAAAAATCACTTGAACAAAGTTTTAAAACTAAATAAAAACTTGCAATGGAATTAAAGATTTCAATTTAAAATAATTTAACACATTATTTTTAATTATTTTTACATCACTGCTATTTCGTATTGTTGAAATACGAATTCATTTGGTTTCGTAGTTACGCGCGGAAAATCTCCCGGCTTGGCACGCCACAGTCCGTTTTCAGGCGCGATTCGCAATAAACTGGCTCTACTGAAAGGGTGCTCACAACGCGCATGCGTTAAGCTACGGACGACATTCTTAGCAGAGAAAACCTACTGAACTTAACTCTTTATTGTGGCATAGCAAAAACAAATTGTGTGTTGGAAATGTTAACCTTCTGCAGCTGACGTGTAGTCCCACAGACACCGCGAAATACAAAATCACGTGTTATACCGTCATTTTTCAAATATGAGCGTCACTGCTGCGAGTACCTTACTGTATAGTGCTCGCGCGTCGGTCAGTGTGCGGCGGGGGGTCGCAGCGAGCGCACGTGTGCGTAGCGGAGGGAAGGTGTCCACGAGACTACCACGTCAGCGTTAAGGTAAGTGTCCACGAGATTACCACCTCAGTGAAATGGTTATATCTTCATAGTGTCTCCTAAACAACCACGTCAGTCATTGAGTTTCAATCATTTATTATTTCATGTTATTTTCCAATTTTCATAAACTATTATATCTATACTTATACTACTTACAATTAGGACAGATTTCTACTTTTGTTTGTAATCAATTAACTTGAATACAAAGCCGTTTATTTAACATACAAACAACATAACAATACATAATAATGTTATCTCTGAGTAACACAGGTTACAGGAAACAATATCTATACAGCACCCGCGTGTGCTTAAGTCGTGCTAGAAAACTAACAGTATTTAACTTGTTTTTAGATGGATATCTCAAGTGACACCCCTAAACCAAGAACTTCTGCTCGTAAGAGAACACCGGCTGGAACTTTTGTAAGCCATGAAGAGAAAATATTAAACTGGCTGGAAGAGGAAAGTGACGATGGCTTTAGTGGTATTGATGATGAAGATGGAGATCCAAGTTTCGAGCCTGAAATCCAACGTGATGAAGATGACGTAATTTCACGTGAAGAAGATTCAGAGTCAATCTTGGAAGTGCAACAAGAACCTGTTGTGGAGGTTGAACGTCAACAATCATCAGACGAGTCACAAGAACACTACACAGGTAAAAACGGTTTTATTTGGAGTGCACAAGAGCGTCGTGAAAATGAGGAGAGGAACTTTTTTGTTGAATATGGCCAGAGACTTAGTGCTGGATCATATGAAAAACCGAGTATACCATGAAAGATTGCCAAGGGAGCTGCGAATGACTATGACTCGAGTTTTAGGCAAGGATACGCCCCCTTCACCTCCAGTAGCTCGATCTGTTCCACCGAGTGGCAAAAAATTATGTTATATTTGTCCAACTAAAACAAAAAGACAAACTAAATACCGTTGCTGTGATTGTTCGAAGCCAATTTGCCTTCAGTGCTCTAAGCCACTGTGTGATAATTGTCAAACAAAGTTGTGATTTTGAAACTCTCTAGTTTTTAAGTTGACCAACGAATGTATCTCAATTTTCCTAGACTGATTAATGTTATTGTGAACTTTTAAAATGTATAATGTGAAATTTGAAAAAGTTGATTTTGTTATTTTTGTAGGTCATAAATGTTTAAGAAGAAATTTATAGACTGATTTGTGTTAAGTAAATAAACCTTGTTTAATTTTGAAAATAGATATTGTTTTTTTTTTATTTCAATTAAATATAAAATATAAAAAGGCAAGAAATCTAACAAACATGAATAAATTAGCTGCATACTTTAATTCTACAAAAATATTTGCTGTTGAAATGGTGTCTGGTATACTACCACCTCAGTTGAATTGTAACAATTTAACCACGTCAGTTGCAGAGGGTTAAACTGGAAGAATTAGATCTTCTGTTTTAGTAATTGCAAGTTTTATTTTATAGTAGTGAAAAGTCGTCTTAACTCGTCGAGTACCGTCATTATAGACACAATTATAGAACAATAGGTTGCGGTCACCGGTGACCGCTTGGTGTTTGACAGTTTAATCTAGAAACACGCAATAATTGTTTTGTTCTAAGCGAGTAACTGCCGAGTATAAGATGATAGGTTCAGTTCTTACTTATGTACCTTTTTATTTTCTTTGTTGGCTCAGCGACCCAAAGTGGCTAAAAAAAGTAAAAAGTCATTGATTTCAATTAGACCACAAAAGCACTTTTGAATGTCAACAAAAAATTAAAAGAGTAGTTATTTGCTCATTCTAAGGCATAGTTTCTCTCCATAGTTACTCTTTTTCAATCAGGTTCACAATACATTTCTCTAGTTACATAGTTTTGTTGGTTTGATTATGCGAGAATAATGTAACACCAAAATCCTTTCAAAGAGATCAAAAAAGAAGTCTTGGATGGCGGAAGGTGGATCTTGGCATCCGATACTTCTCCATTTCTCGCGGCTCTAAACAGTTTCTTACTGAATGAAATAGATAGGGGGAAGTCCCGTAACGCCGGACGGCACCTAACGCCGTACGCCTGTATTATCTCGATAACTGATAACACGAGCGATTCAATGTTTCTTAGTGTGTGTGTAAATCTTAGGTGTCTGCCACAGGGAGACTTCCCCCTAAAAATTGAATCGCTCGCGTTATTAGTTATAGAGATAATACAAGCGTACGGTGTTAGGTGCCGTCCGGCGTTATGGGACTTCCCCCTAATAGGTCATTCATTTAATAGTTCTAACGGTACAAGAACAACACGTAAACTTAAACGGAACGTGTGGTACACTCAACTTTTGTCAATCAATAAGTTCTTGGAAAAGAATTTGTCGCTGGATTACAAACACTTAAGCGATGATAGCTATAGAGGTAGACTCAGGGCAAATTAAACTTACAATTTGAATACTTCCATCGACAGCATTGTAAAATAAAACAACGCATTACCTCTAATTTGTAAAATTATTTTAGTACAAAATTTGTTAGAAAACTGGAGATTCAAGGAAAGGTCAAGAATTAAAAAAAATGAGAATTGATTCTCATATTTTGTCTTCTTTAACAGTAGGTAACAAACATTTTTGTCGTTCTAACAAAATAAAATTTAAAGGATGTGAAAAGTACCTTAAGTAAAAAGGTACATTACCACACGTTTCATGAACAACACAGCACATGCAGGGAAACGAAAAATGTTCAGTTCAGGAACTGAATGGGCAGATACCAATTTTACGTCAGCGTCGTGTTCGAGACTATTACCTTCCTCTTCTCTATTCGTTTGCTTCACTCATAACGTACGTACCTATTGATACGTATTCCGAAAACTGAAGAAAACTGCAAGTATTTTAGACTTAACTTTCGTATTCCATGTTCTTCGAATACTTAGTTTTACTGACAAACTATTATTTATTTTATATTGGTTTACATTTCAAAAGTACCAAAATATGGTTAAATTAAAATAAATGCTTTGATTTTCACTTCCTATATTTTTACTTGTACCTTGCTCTTTGGTTTAACAGTAATCATGCGTTGTGCCTTTTGTTTTCGCCGAAGTTTAATATATTTTTCATCCAAAAGATTTTCATTTACTATTATGAGGGATGATCGAGAAACAGTTAATAGGTGATGATTATTTTCAACTACTCGGACCTCTCCCGCCATCTGTTGGGAAAATTTCAAACTACAAATACAAAACTTTGTAAAAGACAAGTCGTAGAATAGAAGGGTTGTTATTAACTATAAAAATATTGTTATTTAAATTTTTAAATTAATTTTATACTATAAATTTATTATGAAACTATTCCAAATCATTTTTGCGATCACAATCACACCTACACAATGTTTTAAATGGTTTTCTTTTGAAAAATAAAGGAGTGCAATATGAGTGCAATGGTCTCTGTACAATCACTTTAACATCGTTACTCGAAACTAAATTCTGATTCAGCCAGCTAGTTCAGCTTCACAAAATATATTATCTACCATAATCCAACACAGTTCGCTCCATATCATCAATCTTCATTATATCTATAATAGTTACTTTGCAGCTGACAAACTAATATCTTGTAGTAAAAACTATAAGCAGGATCTATCAACTACTAACCCTCAAGAAAAGAGCGTACTCCTTTTTAAAAGGCCGGCAACGCGCCTGTGACTCCTCTGGTGTTGCGGGTGTCCATGGGCGGCGCTGATAGCTTACCTTCAGGTGAACCGTCTGCTCGTTTGCCTCCTGTTCCATAAAAAAGGGCACAACTTTTTCTGTAATTCTAACTTTAACCGTGTATAATCGCTTCTTACTAGGTACCCTCCTTTTAGACCGACCTACGGCATCTTCAGAGTTTCAAGGAGCCACTAGACAAAGGTGACAAGATGGAGTCTCTAGTGGACAATAAAGATCTTGAAACTGATACCGATGTTGATAGTATTAAACTGTCAATCACAACCTATTGTTCTATAATTGTGTCTATAATGACGGTACTCAACGAGTTAATACTTACCGTAGTCTTGTGCAGAATAGAATATATCTGTTATAAAATTAACCTAAAACTGCGGGCTACTCGTGTGAATATACTGAGGAAAGTGAGATGCGCGACGTCGCCGCGACAGCACACGCTGCTCATGAGTAAGAACCCCTACAAAGGGGTTACTCTACTAGTTTCTCGTAGAGCTTTTTTTCAGTATGTCCTCGTGAGTAACCCGCAGTTTTTAGTTAATTTAGTATGTCTCACGATAGTTATTATAAAAACATATCTGTTATAACCCCTATTCTTACTGTTGGTGTCATAATTATACGGTTGATAACATTGCACATTCTGATCAGAGCTGTTGCCAAATTTTTTTAACTACTGATTAATAACTATCAAAGGCGTGCTATCTATTGTGGGTGTATACATTAAACCACTTATTTACTTGCCAATATTTATTCGTGTTCAATATCCATTAATTACATAAGTTGACAAAATTGTTGTTCACGTTGACCGTGAAATATTTAATTAATTTAGAGGTACATTAAAAAATGATTAGTCATCAACAAAGGACTAGATCTAAAATCACAAGGAATAAGGCTTTGACTGCCAATAGAAAATTGTTGAAAGTAAATCCTCGAACGTCGGACACCGGTGACCCCCAATGGCGTTCACATTTTAATAATGATGTAGATTAATTTTTGATAATAGTGTTATGATTAATTGCCATTAGAATGAGACGTGATTCGTATATAACTTCGCGTTCGTCTTCACAATTTCACGCAAATGTTCAGGCAAATAGTCGTCACAAGCTATTAAAAATTGCGACAGAGTAATCTTGTTATCTTCTTCTTCTTCAATATTAATAATATTACTTTCTATCTTTCTTTTCTTGTGCGTAACGTTATTTAAGTTCCGATCAAAATCATTAGGTGTCAGATCGACATCTTCACAAACAATATTTTTCTCAGCTTCTCCTATTTTCACTGCTACTTTTACATTCGGAGATGATGATACAACAAAGTCATCATTACCAATTTTTTTAACTTGTATAAATAGGTGATCAGAATTATTGGCGTCCAAGGTTCCTGTAGACTGCAAAACTATATCTTCTTTTCGTTTTTTGATTTTATCAGTTTTTGTCTTATTATTGAGACATACATTAGCATTTTTACACTGCAAAGTTCGGGTGCAGGACTGAAAAACCACATTTTCTTTTTGCGTTATAATTTTATCATTATCTGACTTATCCTCTGTTGATACAGTAATTGGTTCGGTTTGTGTTTCTGCGCATGTTAAGTTCATTTGGTTGAATGGCACAGGTTTATCCAAATATAAAGTTGGTACAGCGTATCTGCTAAGGAATCCCTTTTTGCTATACGAATATCTGTCGAAATGAAGACTGCACACATACTTATTCCTGAAAAAGTTCCAGTCTTCGTGGATCGTGTGTATTCCATTACAAGCCAATATCCACTCCTTGCGTCTGAAAAGAAAGAAAACAATTATTGGGTCATAGGTTTCAGTATTACGAAATATTTCAAAAATATCTACAGTACTGAGAAACGTACAAATTAACACGTGTTCGGATTAATAACCGCTAACCGGTCTGAAGTTAGCGCAACCGTTAACATGCTTTTAGGTTGTTATAATGGTGGTATTCCAGCTACTTTTATCTACAGCGACAAATTTCAACCGAAACAAGATTTCGACATAAACCTTTAGGGTGTTTATTTAAAGAGTAAGTACTTAGGTAGTTACTCTTTTAATAAACACTTAGGACCTAGTAACTACTTAGGTAGTTACTCTTTTCCGTTCCGATGGAACAACAATCCAGCATGATTTCAGAAGGCTCAAGCGCAGACGCTTTTGCTAGCATTTCCAAGTAATTAAAACACCAATGAATTGACAAATTCTAGCTCACTTTTTAATCAGAGAATTCCAAAATATTGCTTATGACTCACTGCACCATCCTAGGGTCGTGTGCATTATAAATAACCTATATAAAACTCATTTTGTAAACTGTCATTCGACTCGAGTCTAACTTCAGCTCTATCAAAAAGCTTGAAGAGCACTTACTTACAATAGGTATAAATAAATACTACAGACAAGTAATACAATCTAAATACAATGTATATACTATATCAATGAATTATATTTTTAGCTCCTATTGCTTAGCAATAGAACTTATAATATTCCACTTAGTACTTAGATTGATTACGATCTTGGGCTGTGTGGCCGGCGTATCTTGCCCACGTGCGTCAGTACGGTCTAGAAGCACGCATGCGCGTTGACTATTGTCGTCTAGAAAGGGTTTTATTACAATACATCATTATTAATGAAAGTTTTCATCATAATTACCTTTCTTCACTGTAAGGAAACTGATGAAATTTCAATTCTTTATTCATTAGTGTAGACGAAGGACAGGTAGGCACTGAACATGCTATGTACGTCATTATGAAGGCTTTATAGGTTATAGATTGAAATATTGCACTGCTATCAATGCACGCGAGTCGTAGCTCGCTTTCCCCGAGTGACTGGCATTCAGCCGGTCGAATGTAGGGAGGTGAGGGGCGTCCCTCCCCGCAGCCTCCCCTTGCCATACTATCGTTCAATGACGTCTGCTTGTTATTGTACTATACAATAATTGTAATTGTAAATACTTTGACGTTGTGAGATTCTGCTAATATTATTAATGTGGAAGTATGAGAGGATGTACCTATGACTCTTTGTTACTCATTCATGATTTCAAAATTAATAAAGATATCATACAATGAAATGATACTCATAAATCATAAGTAAAAAGTATTTTAATGCACCCATTGAGAATTTTTAGTTCAAAAGTCCTTTTTGAAGTCTTGTTTGAAGTCCTGCTCGAAGTCTTGCTTGAAGTCCTGCTTGAAATCCTGTTTAAAATCTTGTTTAAAATTCTGCTCAAATTCTTGCTTGAACTGCTGTTTGAAATGTTGCTGGAACTCGGGGCTGTAATCTTCTTTCATGTCTCGTTTTTTAGTCGAGTAGCTCATATTGTGATTGCTGTTGTCCATCACAATTTTTTTCTAAAAACGATATTATTTGATGAGAATATTATTGTAAATAGTTACGAATATCGAGTAAAAATTGTCGCAATATTGCTTTACGTTTTTTTGTCAAACCAATATATAATGTCTGTTTGTCAAACAGAACAGATGTCAGATGTCCATTGATTTAAAAGAAGAATGTAATTAATTCAAAGGAGGTTTATTCAGTACGAAGACTATTACTCGAAAACCAAAAAAAAAAAATTAACGAACGAACGTGTTCAATAAAACACGCTCAATCAAGCTTAAAATGTTATAAAATCGATGACACAAACTACTAAACTAATACAATATGTAGATTTATTGAGTAAGAATACAATACTGTAGGTAGGTACCATGCTTATCGCATAAATGCGAATTACAAAGTTTTGCAACATGAAATTGGAAATACAAGATAACGCTCCCAAAACAAAGGACCAATAAAATTGGATTTTAAAACTTGGAATTAAACTGTCAATGGTATATTTGCTAAGGAATGACGCCATTTTTTTACCGTATTAACAATGCAAATTCCTCATTTATCCAAACTCATCCAAATACTAATTATTCTTATGAATAATATCTGAGATTCATACTTTAATTTCCGCTGCGGCGATTGTAGGACATTTTGTTCAAATGAGATTTAAATTGCCTTTTGTCGTGCTTTCGCATGATTGGGCTTATCAAGATTTGTGGCAACGTGCGCAATATTGAATTATTAGGAATCATAGCGGCTATAAATTGAACGAAGCTGGCTTTTCTAATTGGTTTTATCAACGGTATAAATCATAATAACAAAGTTGTTATATTCTACTGTGGATTTAGTCAGTTAAGGCTGGTTTTATTATGTCTTCATTTAGAATTACTTCTCAGAACGTTATGTATTTCATTTATTAATTTTCCAGAAATTTATTAATAAGAGCCTATTGATGGAGTTTTGATTATGAATGCGGATTATTTTGTATTTTATTGTAAAATGAATACGTAGGCATTGCCGATACATATATTACTTTCATTGGAATATATAAAATA